TTGAGCATAAAACCCTCTTTCTCACTTTCAAAGCTCTCCACAGTCTTGCTCCCCCCTATCTCTCCGACCCTATCCCATATCAGCCTGTCCACTCCTTCTGCTTGGTAGACACCTGCCTCAGGTCCCCCGCACTTCCCGCCCCACCATTGGCGGTCGGTTACTTATCAACTTTGCCCACAGATTCTGAAACTCTATCCCGCAATCCCTCCGCCTCACCCCCTTGCCCCTTTCAAGTCCCATCTAAAGACCTTCCTCTTCGATTGTGCCTTCGGACACCCTCCCACCCCATCTCCTCTGTCCTCCACTCGTCCTGACCCCAACTCCCAGCTCGGGTCCAAAACCTTTGACTGTCCAGGGCCCTGGGATGTCTTTTCGGCATGAAGAGCGCTATACAAGTGTAATTTGTTGTTGTGTTGTTACCCTGAAGATGTGATAAGGTGCTATATCAAATGCAGGGAATATTATCCATAAGTACCCATATTTCCTTCTCAACGTGTTATTTTGGGGAGAAGTTTTACTCAGTTTTATTCACAAATTTTTTGGTCAGCACTGAATATCATGGCTACCAACAAACCAACATCCTTAATCTAATTGTATTGCTTGAACTGCCATTACACCAGGGTATTTGGCCACAGCAGTACTGGATATCCTGTCAGTGCATGTTACAAGGGAATAGCTAGTTATTCTTTGTCACCACATGTCAAGCTACCAACCTTTCTTCAAAATTAAGAGGTTATTATTACTTGTCAAAATGCAAAATACAGTACCAAATTTATTAAGACGAAAGGTTAAAAAAATTAACATAACAATATATTGTATTGTCACAATTATTTGCATCAGAAGTTACGCCTCGGCATCCTTTTGCAACCCAATTGACTCTGCTGCGCCCTCCCTTCTCTCGGTTAACACTGGACTGTTTTACATCCACTGCCCAATCCAGCCTAATATCGGTGGGTAAGTTTTCACCCCTGAGCTATGGAACCCCACCTGACCTCTGGCACTGACTAAGCCAGCTGTGCTAAAAATATAGCCAACTACTAAATCGTCAGATTGTCTTTTTGTTTAGTCAGCCAAGTGTCTGATACATGTGAAAATTCATGCTTAAGAGTATGCAGATCAGATGAAAGATGAGACTTAAATCCACAATTTTCTGACTTAGAAGCGAGACTATTATCTACTGCGATAATAATCAAAGAATTGCAAAATAATGTTGTGGGCCATTGATCCAGAAATGGTTAATAGCCTTGAGTTCAAAGCCAATAGTTCAGGTTCTGACACAAATAAGTGTTTTCTTTAAGACTCCATGCCTTTTTAAAAATCTTAATATCTTTCCTGTTGTAAAAAATTTAATTTGCTTCTTTTCTCATTCTACATCATTAACTCACAATATAGCCATCTTTAAATCTTATTAACAAACTGAATAAAGTAGAACTAGAAATCAGTGACATTGTAATACACCCTTCCAGACACTTGATGGCAGAAATAGAACAGTATTTGTATTTTTGGCCATCCTCATCCTGAATATGTACAGTAAGATAACAGATTGCTGATGTTTGCCATTGGTCTGAACTCAGTCTTTTGTCTAAATATTGCTGTTTTGTTAAATGGTGGTTCTTAAAGATTCTCAGAAGTGCAACTCCTAGTGGATCCTATCGAAAGATTTAGAATATATTTACATAAATTTGTGGATCTTATCTGATAACTGAAGCCAAATACACCAAATGTGCAGGTTAAAAAGTTTGAGGTGTTATATTAGGGTTGAAATAGTTTTGCTGGTTTATTTGCCATGGGGGCTATGACAAAAGTGACAATCACCGACTCAGTGGCTAGGTCAGATGTGAGCTCTTGATTTACTTTATATAAAAGTTAGAAACTGTCTCTTCAAACAAACAAATGTATAATAATAATCCTTGCATTTGATATAGTACCTTATATCATTGAGACATCTCAAAGTGCTTCACTTCTGTACTATACTGTAAAGTAAATTTACTGTATATTTTGTGGGCAAAACGCGGCAGCCAAATGCGCACAGCAGTGTCCCACCTACAATCATGGATTGAGTGACCAATTTTTTTTCCCTTCTACAAAGAAATATTGACCCTTTCTTTTCTTGAGTTCTTGTTCTTTGAAGGCATGGTATTGGTTGCGAGTGGTGTTATAATAATAATAATAATAATCCTTGCATTTGATATAGCGCTTTTCACGTCGGGAGGACGTCCCAAAGCGCTTCACAGAACACACTGTAAAGTGAATTGACTGTATATTTGTGGGCGAACGCGGCAGCCAATTGCGCACAGCAATGTCCCACAAACAGTCGTGGATTGAAAATGACCAATTTATTATTGTTTTTGGTTTTGGAGGGATTATTATTAGGCGTGTGGAGTAAGGAAACTTGCCCAAGGTTTCGCCCTGCCTGGAATTGAACTCAGGTCTCTAGCTTGCAAAGCGAGTGCTCAACCACTGAGCTACAGGACTCCACAAAGTGTTATTCATGGATTTGAGCTGTTAGATGATATAGGACAGTTTTATAAATTTTGACTTGTGGTAAGACCATGATATAAGGTTCAAAGTTTGGACTTTCAACAAAGATCACTGGATCATAATTGTGAGTTACAATTCTGATTCCAAGCTCCCCCCCACCCCGCACTCCATCTCTTATTTTGTCACTACACCATTGGCAAAACTTTCCCCTTTCATAATAGTACCCCGTTCTCACAGAGCAGAGGAACAGGAGTAGGCCATTCGGCCCATCAAGGCTTTTACGCTACTTTCCAAGAACATGGATGATCCACAACTCAATTCTATTTCACCAACGTCTCTCCATATCTCTTCATACCCCTGTCTATCAAGCACATATCTATGTTACTTTTAAATTTTTCAATTGACTCTGCTTGAATTCCACACTCCCAGCACCCACTGCGTGAAAATAATACTTCTGTATTTCATTTCTAAATGGTTTAGCCTCCAGTTTAAGACTATGGCCTCTAAACCTCAATTCTCTCGCCAAGGAAACGACTGCTCACTATTCAGCCTGTTAAAGCCCTGCATAATTTGGTATACCTCGATCAAATCACCTCTTAATCTTCTGAACTCGAGAGAAAACAATCCAAGTTTTTCCACACTTTCATCATAATTTAGGCCCTTGACTTTGTGCTAACCCTCCCCCCCCCCACCCCGACAGCTTAAATTGTCTTCACTCTACTATTGAATCTTTCTCCATAGAAACTTTCTTTCAACTAATCAAAGAGCAGCATTGATAGCTATCTTATCCAATCCACACAAATCTAGACATGGTTGTAGTTTAGGTGAAATAATTAGTTTTCTGTGACTGATTTTTATGTGAAATATTTGAGTACAAATAGTTACATTTCTCTGCAGTACCATTATTTAGTTCCCAAAGTGTTTTTTTAAAAAAACAAGTTCAATTCATACAGAAGGATAATTCTTAGCCTCTTAACATATAATACACAAGCAACGTTTATTTTAGGTATACTTAACCACATTGTATCCGCCTGCAGAGATAATGGTTTCCTTTCATAACTCTACTACGGAAGTTTGTGGTAACAGTCTTTTGGACAAAGGAAACCAAGATTAGCCATTAGACATCATTAATACAAGCAAGAATTAGATTACAGCAAATTTATTGAAGAGTAATACATTTGTTTAAAAGTTGAAGGTATCGACAGTAATTATAAATACAACTATTTTAAATATCAAATTTTATCCATGTAAAGATTTGAAAATTATTTGTTATCATTATTGTATTGAAATATCAGGTTGAAATACATACATATACATAAAATTATACTAGCGCAGATTTTGGAAAAGTTTATATTTTTATCAAGTTATATTCAAATTGCATATACAACAACAACAAACAATAACAAAATTACATTTATAGAGCGCTTTTCACATCGGGAGGACATCCCAAGGCGATGGATAGTCAGAGGTCAGGACCCGAGCATGGGGGAGGGGTGGTGTAGGGCTGAGGGAAGGCAGAGAAGTGGGAGGGCGACTGAAGGCACTATCGAAGAGGAGGGTCTTGAGACCGGCCTTGAAGGAGGCAAGGGAGGAAGCGAGGTGAAGGACTGTAGGATGGAGTTCCAGAGTGTGGGGGCAGAGAGGCTGAAAGCCCGGCCACCAATGGTAGGGTGGGTCGGGTGGGAGACATGGAGCATGCCGGAGTTCGCTGAACAGAGGAGTCCTGTAGCTCAGCGGTTAGAGCACTCGCTTTGCAAGCGAGAGACCTGAGTTCAATTCCAGGCAGGGCGAAACCTTGGGCAAGTTTCCTTAGTCCACACGCCTTATAATAATCCCTCCAAAAAAACAAAACAATAATAAATTGATCATTTTCAATCTACGACTGTTTGTGGGACACTGCTGTGCGCACTTGGCTGCCCCGTTCGCCCACAAATATACAGTCAATTCACTTTACAGTATATTCTGTGAAGTGCTTTGGGACGTCTAGAAGACGTGAAAAGCACTATATCAAATGCAAAGATTATTATTATTAGAGGGAGCGGGCAGGTTGTAGGTACTGAAATTAGCACAAATTAATTTAAATTGTAGTCCAAACTGTAGCATAACATTGGAGTAAGTATGTAATGTGCTGTCTGGTAAACTTGACTTACACCCTTATAGTGAGAAATTCCATTACGAGGGTAAGTACAAACAGAATACTTACTTCATCTCACTATATCAATATAAATATATCGATAGAAAATAGTCCAGCAATATAAAATAGTCACAAATAGATCAAATAGGGACGTTAGAAGAAATGTCTTCACACAGAGAGTAGTGGGAATGTGGAACATGCTACCAGAAGGAGTTGTTCAGGCAAATAGCATAGATGTATTTAAGGGAAAGCTAGATAGGTATAGGGGGGAGAAATGAATAGAAGGTTACGCTTGAAGGCTTAGTTGGAAAGAGTAGGAGGAGGCTCACGTGGAGCATAAACACTGGCATAGACCAGTTGGGCTGAATAGCCTGTTTCTGTGCTGTATAATCTAATGTATTCTAATACATATACAAATACAGTAATTTCGGTGGGGAAAATAGCAACGGTGAAACGGCAAAGTGTATATCTGGTCACAAGGTGCTATGTTGAGACTGGATCTTTTAGTGTTCAAAGAGGCAATTATTGTGGAAGTCATTTTAATACAAATTATTTTTTTAGATGGTTGAATAGAAGTAACAAATATTTACCTCATCCTGTCATGCATGCTTTATGTATGCCAGCAGTGCTTCTAATACCCCATGCTTGATGTGAAAGCTATTTGACTATTTTACAGCTGAGCCGAATCTTAATCTCCCCCAAATGCACATCTGCAATTTTCAGCAGTAGTCATTGGATAGCAATCTAGAATGAGAAATCAATCTCATTTCCCTTGTCTGATGGTGCTGCAGGCAAATGGAGTGTTCTCATTGCTCCTCTACTGTGATTAACTTATTCAACTGTGGCGAATGGTCCAACCTGGCATCTTCCTCATTTGTATAGCACAATAGCACGGCAGGTAGTGCATTTATCCACTGGGCTGTACCACAGCTCTGCAATAATTTTGATTCCACCGCATTTTTACTCATCAAGTAACAGAAAACAACTTCATCTGGAGACACTTGAGAATGTTTGTATGACTGTTTGACGCTCCTCACTTGTTTCACCTATTTGTAGCACAGGAGGTACTGTACTGTGCTGATATGTTTACAGTACTGAAATTTCCAAATCTCTTGCAATTTTTGATGCTCCAATGGTCTGGATCAAAATACCCTGAAATAACAAATCAGCCTTCTTAAACAGAAATTGCAAAACCACAGAGAGAAAAAAATCAAAAATTAAATGATCTTAGTCTCAAATGTATTTATTTTGCACACAATTTCTATACTAATTTTATACTAATTATTTTCCACATCCATTCATAAGTTTGATTTGTATACTTTATAAACACTAATGAACATAAGTGTTTACAAAATAAGTTTCTATAAACGAATGCTTGTCATGAACAAAAGTGCTTATGAAATCTGCTTCCTTTAACCAATGCTTGCATTACTAATACTGAGAGATTCTAACATTGAAATGCATTGCAATCATGATTTTAAAACCAAAAATATATATATACACACGTAAACAATCCACATTTTAAATGCAACTACCTTAATTTTACATTTTGTTGTAGTTTGTGATATTTTATCATGTTGCATAACGTGGAACCAGTCCAGATTATAACCTGCAGAAGATCCAGTGGTCTTGATTGCTTGAATGTATGATTACTGATATTAATGGAAAAGATCAGTTCCAGGTATTATCATGTTAGTTAATACTGCACCTGCATTTAATCAATAATTCTTGCATTTTATGTAGTACCTCAGAACATCAAAATACATGAAAGAGCTTCACATAATCAGTTTTATTGATGTTTAGTGACTACTTATGTAAGGAAACGAGCAGCGAGACATGTCTCAAGAATAGCAATGAGATGAATGACCCCAGTTATCAGAGTGTTAGATATCAGATTCACTGTTGGTGTCATTACACATCAGTCCTGAGATATATTTGTGTTACAAGAGTTTTGGCCTTCCTTGGAAATGACTTCTCATTGGTTTATTGGTGAAGTGCTGAGATGTTAATTGACTCCTCTTCTGGTTTCCTTACAATATGTCCAACTCGGGAAAGTTGACACTGATGGATGGTTTGTGATAAGGGTTACTACTTTACCTCAAAGTAGATATTATAGTTAGTAGCAGTCATGGTGATTAATTACAAGCATAATCTGCTAGTGATTGATTGTATGGTTACTTCAGGAGTCACAAGTGCTACATAGATTATTTTTACTTAACTCACGATGTGAGTAATGCTAGCAGGGCTAGATTTTTTGTTGCCCATCTCTAGTTACTCTCAAAAGGTAGTTAATTGCTGGAGTTCTCGTGATGGTTCTCCCTTGTGATTATGGTTACCGGACTTCCAGGAATGTGACGATGAAACTCATTCTTTTAAGCGCATGACAGAATGGTGTGTGACTGGGAGAAGAACTTGGAGGTGATGGTGTTTCCATAACACTGCTGTTCTTGTTCTGAATGATAATAATAATATTTCAACAATTTCAATAATTTGTTGGGGTAACTGACTGTCTCTAATTTTCATAAGTGGACAGGAAAGTGTACTATTTCCCTATTAGGTCACTTAAAGGATAATTTTGATTGGACCACATCAAGTAATTGGTGCTATACAATTACCATTGAGTACCCTAATTTGGGGAGGGGCTCAATGCCCTTAAAAGAATGAGCATCATGTGCTTGTGGTTGCTATTTTTCTACCTGATGACAACCAGGTATGTGGTCTGACTATTGATGATTATAATAATAATAATCCTTGCATTTTCATGTCTTCTAGAAGTCTCAAAGTGCTTCACAGAATATGCTGTAAAGTGAATTGACTGTATATTTGTGGGCGAAACACGGCAGCCAACTGCACACAGCAGTGTCCCACAAACAGTCGTGGATGAAAATGACCAATTTAGGAGGGTGGCTATGTCAGAGAGAAAAGTAGAGGAGGGTTTGGGTAGAGACGATAAATAAGGAGGATTTTTAAAGAGAGATTGGAGGGATGGTAGAGACGGGATGCTCGAATGAGGAGAAGGAGTGAGGGGATAGACCCAGTGAGGACCTGGAGATGAGGGTCATACCACCTCCACGGTTGGGTCGTGTTGCAGGGCATGATGGAAAGTATAGCAGGTGGTGTGGCCTCAGTAAGGGGGAAAATGTCCACCTGGAGTGATCCAGGTTTCAGTGAGAGCAAGGATGTGGACTTTTTCCATCAACAATGAGTTTGTGGACAGTGAAGGCTTTACTACATAGGGAGCAGATATTTTGAAGGGCGATGCGGAGGGGATAGACAGCAGAGGCGTTTGCAGGATCGGGGGAGAGGAAGATTGGCAGGAAGGGTGGGAACATGAATGAGAGAGGAGATTCACACCCAGGGGTTGGGACCGGTGGGACTTATGTTGAAAATGGAGGATGGGGTAGTCAGGGTGGTTGCAGTTGAACAGCCAACGGCATGTGCCATGATGAGCGTGTCAGAGGATTCCAAGGTTGGAACAGAGGGAAGATGTGGCTGGGCCCAGGAGGGAGAGGAGGCGGGGAGGACAGTAGGAGAGTAGGAGCAAACAGGAGTAGAGGTGGATAGGAGAGAGGACATGTTGGGGGATGGTAGCTCGGATCGTGGGCTGCAGCCAGATGCACACGCCGAGATTGAGAGCAAGCAATGAGAATCAGCAGGGCATGGTCAGCCCATAGACATGGGGGGAGCTAGAAGAGACAGCACGGAAGTGGGAGGATGGCACTTCTGGCTGTGCCAGAGAGAAGGTATAATGGACTGGATGGGAAAGGAGGTAAGTCGAGGCAGAAGATCGGGAATAGTAACAGAGTAAAAACTATACTTAGGCTATGTGCATTTGAAAAATGGCGCTTGGAAGTGACGTCACGAAGGTGGATTCGGCCATTGGTGCAGGTGGGGGATTTTGAAATGGAGTTTCTTCACTGGAACCTCCTCAGTTGGAACACTGAAAACTCGGATCCTGCAGCCTCGGTCCCTCGCTGGTCTCTGCCTCGGCCTGCTCGCCTTCAGGCTTAGGCTTCAGTTGACTATGGATTTTACGTCAGCTAGTATTACAGCAAGTAACTTTTTGACCAACTGAATAATGAAAAAAAAGTTGGTTTATGCAGAGTTAACTTAAGCAGGATGCCTCAGACGTCTGTATTAGGTCCCCTCCTGTTCCATGTACATATTAGTGATCTGGATTCGCAGACCTAATCTAAGGTAGTTGAATTTGCAGATGCCACCAAGTTGGAGGAATTGTGTTATAAGAGGCAACAAAAGTCTTAGAGAGAGCTCGATAGCATACGCACTACTGAAACATGAAAAATGAACAAGGTCATATCAGAGATATCTCCTGGTGGGAGTCTAACTATGTTTTACTGCACTGAAGAGATTTTTCCCCTCCAAATTGTCTTAACAGGACAACCTTAACTTGGTATCCTCTGATGATGCTACATCCACAATTTCCTGAATTGCTTTTTGTAATTCCCATTATATCATTTACTTTTTCCAGTTCACTGAGAGAGCTAATGATCTGTAATTGTTGCATTCCAGCATACTCCCTTTTCTTTTAAAAGTTTGAACCATGAATGCATTCCTTATTTTACATTCTTATAGTAGTGGGCTGAGATGTGTTCATTGTGCTCAGCACACACACATACATATATATAAAAACATTCAGTGATGTATTTCTGTATATTATCAGTTTATTGCACTGGTGGTACAGCACACTATGCCACAGAATGTTTGGATGTGTTTTATGCTCATCATTCTCCACAAGGCAAATTTCTAATTTAGAGTGTATGGATACGGTGGAGCCATTAAATAGAAACCTGGCACTTCCCAATAAAAATGGAGAGAGAAAGAAAGATCGGTGGTGGGCTGACTTACATTGACCTCATCACATGCATCTTTCATCTACTTGAGGGTCAAACCCTTTGGAAAAATGTTATTTTTTAAAGAAATTCTTTAAAGACATTTTGCAATATTTTAAAGGATTAGAATTATAAGAATTAAACTGAAGAGATATTCTTTAGGTCATATGTTTTCTTCTTCTCACAAAATTTGTTTCAATTGTATTTGTTGTTTTAAAATAGGCAGATAGAAAATAGTACACACTATACATTACAGCAAACACTTCTGAATTTGATTGCTTGCAGAATTAATTTACAGGACTGACTCAGTCCTGCAGAACTCAACTTCTTGTTCAACAGGAACAGTTTTGAAAATTTATTTGTGTCTTTTTTTTAAAAACAAAAATAGGCAACTGGTTTGGGAATGCATGCTAATGAAAAGAAACATACAAATAATAGTTTATTTTCTTATTGTCATTATGAATTGAAATTGTGATGGTATTCAGCCCCTGTTGTACATTACATTTCAAGTACTCTTTTCCAATACAAAGCTTCCATCTGCCATCTCCACCATCCACAAGGCTCATGTCAGGAATGTAAAAAAGTACAATGAATGCAGCAGTCTGGATAGGTACAGCTGAAACAACACATTCAAAGAGAATATCAGAACATAAATCACTAGGTCACCACATCGCTTCCAGTGGTTGATTTAAAAACTGCTCTAGAATAACATATTTCTACTTCAGAAATGTTCTATGCTTTGCATATTACTGAATAGTAGTGGAGTATATGGATTTACAATGATGGTTAGAGTTCCTAAGTCACATCTAACTTGTTGCCAAAAAGAAACTGAAACTGGACACATTATCAGTGGTAAACAAGAGAAAACATCCAAGTTCATGTTGGCATTCTGCCAACGATGCTTAACTTTCAAATTCATTAACATCATTTCAATTAACTTGACATGAACTAAAATTGTACCTGAAAGCTGGTAGAATTGCTGCAAGACCATTTGTAAAATAAAGAGATGAACCAAACATTTAACAAATACCTAGCCTCTTGTGAATTTGGAGTATTGTGAAATCTTACATTTCTATATTTATTCGCTTTAAAATGAAGGCACGTGGAGTGTCATGTGAAATGTAAATCTGAACCGTAGACTCAATTCTTTTCTTTAGACTTTGCTCTTCCAAGCACTGTAACCAGCATAATGTGCGGAGACCAGTAGGGGTCCTTCACATAAACATATTATAAATCTGCACCATATAAATTTAAAAATCATTCATCCAATTTGGTAAACCACTGCATAATGTGACAGTAGTAACATAGAACAACGAGGTCCTCGGTAGGTTCATTCTATGGTCTGGTTTGAATTAGCTGATTTCTGTCAGGCAACAGTGGGTGGTGGAGGGGTGGAAATAGGAGGTGGTCCACTCGCTCAGTTTCAACACCCCTGGGCTAGAGAGGGAATTCAAAACACAGGGTTCCCATTTCTTATTGATATCAGGTTACTCCTGCTAGAAAATGCACATGTGCATATATCAGGAGAGAACGAGGTGTCTTGTATAAGATATCAGGTGAGAAAAAATGTCTTGTATGAGTTCATTTTTTTTAAAGTTTGTTCAATATTTCACAGATTATCTACATTCTTCTGTTCTGAGTCTCACTCGAAATATTTTTGACCTGATCCCATTTGGCTTGTTTCTGTTGATTATATGACTGTTCAGATAGGTTGAGCTACCACAAGATCCCAATTTCATTCTCTTGTGGATTCCCTGAAATGTGAGTCAGTACTCCAAGCAGTCTACTTCATCATAGGTCTATGCAGAGTTTAAACTGGGATGGAGTAAGCACCACTATTGATTTTTTTCCTAACCTTTCCATTGATTCCGACTGGGATATAGTTCTTTAAGCAACAAGCACCATGTGGTGATTTGTCCAAGTGGCCATTATTCACGCATGAGCCTTGACAGTGAGTGTTGGCAAGATATTCGATTTTAGGGGTAAAATAACTGAGCAGGATCTGTTTTTAATCCGACATTCACACCTGTGTACCTTCCACAGGAGAGTTTCTAGGTAGTGATCAAGTGCAGGAGCCTTAGCAGAATTTCCTCTCTAACCTTCGAATCTGTATTGTAATAATACTCAATCCAAAACACGGGTGAATAGTAAGTTCCTTTATTATCAACTCAAAACACTCCAATCCACTAACTATAACCACACCGATTTGTTCTACTCCCCATATCCTTTTGTACTTCCTGTTTTTATCTCATTGACTCTTTCTTAATTGTTCTTCAATCTTAAAGGGCTATCCTACATAATAATAATAAATGTATGATCTAGATCTCCACTGGGCAGTGCACTTACCCACTGGAGATTTTGGAGGAGCATCAAGGTGAATATTTTAAAAGCAGTAAGAGTATGTTTTGCAAAAAACATTTTGGAAGTCTGTACATTTTTAAAAATTATTATAGTTATTACAAATTATGCATTTTGTCCACAAAATACGGTCAATCCACTCTACAATATATTCTGTGAAGTGTTTTGAGATGACTCAATGACATGATAAGGCTCTGTATCCAATGCAAGGATTATTATAGAATACAAAATTACATTTGTATAGCACCTTTGACGTCCAGAGAAGAGTCAGGGATTTGGACCCAAGCTGGGGGTCGGGATCGAGGATGGGAGAGGGTAGGAGGGTGGCTGAATGCTCGGTCGAAGAGGAGGATTTTGAGACGCACCTTGAAGGAGGCAAGGCAGGGAGCGAGACGAAGGGAATGTGGAATGGAGTTATATTTTAACCCCATTCAATTATGGTTCAAATGAGGCCATTTTGCTTTTTAAATAGAATCATGAAATGTTGCAAATACACAGCACATTTATCAGTTCTGATGAAGTGTCACACTGAAACATTAGCCTTTCTCTTTTAGATAGCAATTAATTCATTGCATTTCCAGCATACACTACTCTGTTTTTCAGATTTCCGGCATTAGCTGCTTTTTTTGTGTTTCAACCAATCTAATCAAATTCTTCCTGCGTTACTACTTCAATGATCTAATATCTTACTTATTCAATAATCCAAGTTTCCAAAAAATATGTAGTCACATGGGTCAAATTACATTTCCTTGTGCCCCTTTGTATAGGCTCATATTTACTAACAATGGACACATGAGAATTCATTTTCCTGGAGGCAGAATGAACTTGCATTTATAGCAACTTCCAAGCCAAAATGTCTCAGTGTTATGGTAATTATTGTCAAGTGAGGTGACTGTAGTTAGCAGTGATTTGTGACACAATTTATAATAATAATAATCCTTGCATTGGATATAGCGCCTTATCACGTCTTCGAGATGTCTTAAAGCGCTTCACAGAATATACTGTAAAGTGAATTGACTATTTTGTGGGTGAAATGCAGCAGCCAATTGCATACAGCAGTGTCCCACAAACAGCCGTGGATTGAAGTGACCAATTTATTATTATTTTGAAGGAATTATTACCTCCGATCCGCCAATCGACTAACAACTGGGTTCCTACTTATTGCTAGATAAACAGAGGCGTGTGGAGTAAGGAAATTTGGCCAATGTTTCTCCCTGCCCGGGAACTGAACCCAGGTGCTCTCGCTTTCAAGGCAAGTGCTCTACCCACTAAGCTACCGATTATGCACAACAGACTCAAATGGCAAAACTCCTTCCTGAAATAGTTAAAAGGCATCTTTAGCGTTCACCAGAGGACAAAGAGTGCTACATTTCATTGCATCATCCAAAGTCCCTTCCAACAATATAGTACTCCCCAGTACCTCATTGAAGTGTCAACTACTGACATGGGTCTTAAACCCTTGTTTCTGACCAAGATGACATAATGCCACTCTCTAGGCAAGGATAGTATTCACAAAGATACTTTTGCATTTTTGTCAAGTGACAAAAGAACCAATATGAGATAATAACCTAAATAATTTTCTGAATTCCATGTTTTTTTCAAATAACTTAAAATGAACAAATACAGCATTTATAAATCATTTAACCTTTAGAGGAATTTGAAAGTATTTCTGGGCTGACTCTCCAATGCAGTGTTGGGACACTGCCAGAGGTGTAGTCCTAAAGGATGAGAATGCTAAACTGAGCTCCTATCCTGTCTAACAGGTGGACGTTAAAGATCCCATGACACTATTCAAAAAGAGGAGTTTCTCTTGGTGTTCTGGCCAACAATTCCCCAGACAATATTGATCATTCACTTCATTAGCTGTTTATGGATACTGCTGGACGAATTGCTGTGAGGTGCTTTGAGATATCCTCCCGAAATGAAAGGCTACAGATCAAATGCTAAGATTGTTATCATCAACAGTCAAGTGCTTTTGCCTGAGTGTTGCAAATTCTTGAGCTTTGAAATCAGAAATAGAAGAAAAATAATTGAATAGTTAGAAAGGATGGACAGTAAATATGAAAGAAATAAAAATAAGATGATGGGCAAGAACAGGTAAAGTTTTTTTTTAAAAAGTTAAAATTGCATTTTTAAATTTGTTTTAGTAGGTTTGTTAACATTACAATATTTCTGAGTAGTACTGTATTAGCATTGTTTTCTGTGTCTTATTCTGCAAACTGAAAACGAACTCAGACAGGAATAGATGTGCCAGGAGTCGAAGAGTTAATAACATGATGTGTTCCAAAATAGCAAAATCGTGAACTCATGTTCATATCTGCTGTCATTCTAAAACTATATTTCGGCAAATTATGTCATATAAATGTTCCTGAGAGAACAAACATGACTTTGACTTGCAGTAAAACACATGCTGCATTGCTAGCCTTGGTGTGCTTTGATGAAGAAGAATTGTATTAAGTTGGTACAAATAGCTGATGCATATCTTCTGTGGATTTTAGCTGTTAATCGAAAATCAGTGCATGCATCAGGCAGGTAATGTGATACCTTCTGGCAAAGCAACTGACTTTCGACAGCTCTCTAAAGAGGAGGAGGCGGTGGGGGGAGAGGGGGAAATGGCATACAACAAGAACTTCAACAACAACTTGCACTTAGATAGCACCTTCCACACAGGGTAGCGTCTCAAGAGTGCTTACAGTATGGATTGCCTGAACACGACCTGGATGTGATCTCTGAGCCTGATATATAAATGGGGTTTGCATTACGTTGCACCATTTCTGCTTCACCCAATATTTCCACTCAGATTTAAAGATGGAATGTGTTTATAACCGCTTTGCAAATAGCGAAAAATCAGATTATCCATCATTTTACATGGGTAGCACAGATATTTATGATTGCAATTTTACAAATACTGTATGAGTTGTAGCCTTGAAACTTTAGAACAATGGTAGTAATAATAAACATGACTTGCCTAAATAATTTCTAAATAACTGGGTACTGTTGTTCTAAGGCTAAGTTTAATAAAATGTATTTAATCTTTGTCTGGGGGATAGAGTTCCTAGGCTCTGGAACTCTATCCCCCAGTGCTTTCGTCTTGCCTCCTCCCTTTCCTCCTTCAAGGCCGGTCTCAAGACCTTTCTCTTTGACCGTGCCTTCAGCTCCCCTCTCGACTCTCTACCCCCTCCTCACTCCCTCCCTTCCATCCCCTCACCCTGACCATTTCCCCCCTGCTCGGGTCCTGACCCAACTGTACAGCACCTTGGGACGTCCTCCCGACGTGAAAAGCGCTCTATAAATGGAATCTTGTTGTTGTTGTATGGTTCTTAACTAGGGCTTTGCTGATGAGAACATAGCCAGGATGGCTAATCAGTAGGATTGGGAAGGACAGACCAGTCACTGGGGGTAGGGACTCGTCCCACTCAGCTCCCGTTAATCCTGCAAGCCAAAGCTCTAACTGGTACAGTGGTCCGAACTGGACAAGCAGAGGGTTCAGTCTCAACATTACATCGCAGTGATGTCATCTGCAGACATGGGGTTAACTTCCACGTGTATGTGGATGACAATCAACTCTACTTTTCCAACTCCAACTGTGACCCCCCAGTCCCCTGATGTTCTGTCAGCTTGTCTGTCAGACAGCAGGAGTTGGATGAGCGCAAATTTCCTGCAGTTAAACATAAACAAGATGGAAGCCAACGTCTTGTGTCACACGGTTCCAACCTACACGACCTATCCTTAAACCTCTCTGAACCCGTGCGCAACTTAAGCATCAGGTACAATCCCCAGTTATCCTTCCTCCCCCATATCCGGTCCCTGACCAGCACCACTTTCTTCCACCTCCGACACACTGCCCGCCTCCGACAATACCTCACCCCAAAAGCTGCCAAAACCCTTGTCCATGCCTTTGTCACCACTCAGCTGGACTACAACTCCCTCCTTGCCAGTCTCCCCTCCTCCACCATTCACAAAATCCAGCTCATTCAAAACTCCACCGCCCGCATTCTCACCCGCACCAAACTTCGTACCTCGATTACCCCATTCCTTGCCAAATGCCACTGGCTCCCTGTCACAGAGCTGATCGACTTCAAGATTCTCACTCTAGTGTTTAAATCCCTCCATTCCTTGGTGCTCCCCCATCTCTCTAACCTCCTCTCCCCCCATAGCAGTACCCGCTGTCTTCGCTCTACTGGGTCCGGCGTCCCCCGAATCCTCGGCTCCATTATTGACGTCCGTGCCTTCAGCCACTACACCCTGAATCTTTGGAACTCCCTCCCTCAACCCCTTTGCCTCGCCCCCTCCTTCGCCATTCGACTGTGCCTATGGTCACCTTCCCCCTCCCCCTGGCTCCTCAGCCTTGGGCTCCACCATTGTTAAGCGCACTAAGATGCCGCCCGGCATGGAGGGCGCTATATAAATGAAAGTTGTTGTTCTAGTGGTTTAGTGTGCAAGGGTGGAAAAAAAGCAGCCAGAATTTCTGGTCCTTTTCACTGTACAGTGACACCTACCTGATGTTGTGTGAATGCTGTGTGAGGATACCCCAGATCCAAATCTTCTAAAGAAGTAACTCACTTTATGGCCTTGCATCTGAACGCATGATTGTCAGCACCTGTGAAAAATACCTCAGCATGAGCTAACGTCGACAACAACAAAATACATTTGTATAGCACCTTTCACGTCGCAAACACTGGGAGGACATCCCAGTGTTTTGGACCCGAGCTAGGTGTTGGAATTGGGGATGGTGGAGGGCGGGGGGGGTGAAGTATGGTGATCGAAAGTACAGTCAAAGAGGAGGGTCTTAAGATGGGTCTTGAAGGAGACAAGGGAGGGGGAGAGGCGGAGGGACTGCGGGATGGAGTTCCAGAGGGTAGAGGCAGAATGGCAGAAGGCCTGCCTGCCAATGGTAAGAGCAGGTGAGGCGGGGGACGTGAAGCAGGCCAGAGCCTGCTGAGCGGATGGAGAGGGCAGGATGGTAGGGGGTTAGGATGTCGCAGAGGTAGGCGGGAGCAAGGCCATGGAGGGCTTTGAAGGTAAGGGACCAGGAACTGTTCCTTTGAGTGACAGAATGGAGAAAGGGAAAACATTTGGAAAAAAAAATTCCCAAATGAGAAAACTGGAATTGACCATCATTTTATTTTAAAAGATGAAAAATTGAAAATATGTGCATGATAGTCAGGAGTTAGATAATACTCTTTGCATTTGATATAGCTCCTTATCAAGCCATTGAGAGATTTCAAAACACTTCACAGCAATTTCACATTTGGACACAGCTATATCCTGCAAATTGCCATGAAACAAATGTCCAATTTTTATCTGGAAGATTGTTAGCCAGGATACGAGGACGAAGCTCATTTCTCATCAAATTATGCCATGGGATCGTTAACATTCACTTGAACAGACAGACAGGATGTCAATTAAATTTCTCAGCTGAATAATGACTACTGAAAATACAGTGCTCCCCCAGCATTGAATAGGAATGTCAGCCTAGACAGGGAGTTCAGAGAGTTAAGACTGAGGGTCTTAAATCCACAATCAACAACAACTTGGATTTATATAGCACCCTCCACGCCGGACGGCATCTCAGAGCGCTTTACAGTAACGGATCCCGATGTTGGGGGACGTAGGCTAACAGTAGGCTAAGTAGACTAATAATCACACATTTTAGGAGAGTGGTAAAATATCCCTGATGAAATTCTGATTCAAACGTCACATTTTTGAGGCTCGTTCCAATTTTGTTTCGCTCAATAAGTATCTAAAGTTTTGCTTGAATTCTGATTACTTTTGTGGCGTGGAAGAAAAATTTACCATGGGTACTTGCAGCGATTAGCACACATTAGTGGCTTATGAAATAAAATATGTTCATACTCCCGATTGATTATAAAGCGAATAAGATAATTTAAGTAACGAACTTTGAGAATTGCAGCTGGTATCCAAAATTGTTGCCGATGGGAGAAGACAAATGATTGCAAAACGTTTTGAGAATGGGACATTGCTGTGCGCAATTGGCTGCCGCGTTCGCCCACAAATATACAGTCATTTCACTTCACAGTGTGTTCCGTGAAGCGCTTTGGGTCGTCCTCCCGACGTGAAAAGCGCTATATCAAATGCAAGGATTATTATTATTATCATTACCCAAACCACAAGCATTAGTTGTGGCCGATGGGGGAAGGGTCAGGGATCTTGATTTATAACCCAGTGCAGGAAAACGCAATTATTTGCAAAATTAAATAGCAACAAACTATTGTTTGTCTGCATCCGCAGATCTCAGGAGGACAAAAGAATTGCACACACGAACTCCTTCTGAGGGTCGCCTGCACACTTCACCCCCCCAATCGCTTCGACAGCAGAAGCTGATCGTTTGCACCATTTCAATTGCAAAACCACGCACGAATCGTTTCCAAGCTCCTTCCCGCTTCCGTGAGAAAGCCCCTGGTACGTTTTCGCAAGTCAATTTTTTTTTCCCAAAAAAAATCGATTAAGTTTCAAACGAAAAATAAAGAGAGAGGAGAAAAAAAAATTGCACCCGCGAAGCGTTTGCAAGTGACTTTCCTCGGCGACGAGAACGCATTCGCGTGCACAGGCTCTACCTCCTCCTCCCCCCCCCCGGGGGGTGGGCACTAAAAAAAACAATTAGCGGGAAATGCACTTATTTGCAAAAAAAATCTTTCCGAGGGCTTTGCATTAACCTTTTTTGCAACATAACTCCCCCCCCCCACACCCACACACTCTCCACCGCCGGAGAGGAAAAAAAAAGCCTCGTGCAACCAACACCCCAACTCCCCGGGAGGAAGCCGCTCCTTTTTTTTTTCGCAGGGCTGCAAAAGGTGGGGAGAGTGGAGTGGAGGAGAGAGATGGTGGTGGGGGGCAGAGTGAGTGGGGAGGGAGGGAGGGAGAGGGAGGGAGAGCCTGAACTGAGCTCGTGCCGCCGGCCGCCATATTGGAATGTTCACAATGTTTTCCCAGAGCGCAACGCGGCCGACGGGTTGTCAACGGTCAGAGTGAGTGAGTGTGAGAGAGAGTGAGACGCAGCGGCGGCGCTCAGTGCGTCCCGGACTCTGACACTATATATATACACACGCACACACCCACACTAATACAAACTACTATTGTGAGCAGCCGCAGCAACGACGACGACAACGGGATCGAATCACGGATGAAATCTCTCCGGCCGCCGAGAACGAGAAAGCAACGGACCGTGTAACGGCTTTTTTTTTCTACCGAGCGACGGTTTTTTTTTTGTCGGCGCGCGCGCGCGCGCACCCGCACACGGCGACTCAAACACAAAGTAAGTGGCTTTTTTTTTTCCCCTCTCCTCTTTTCGCGTTTGCTTTAAAATGTGTGGACGCGCGCGCGTGTGCTCGTGCTCCCGCGGTGTCGCTGTGTGTGTGTGTGTGTTGTGTGTTGAAGCTGATTTCTCCCCTGTGTTTCCTCTCCTCCCTCATCTTAAAACAAATCTCACTCACTCACTCACTGACTCGCTCCACTCACTCACTGGAGACGTACCAACTGCCAAAATAGCCGAAGATGAGTGAAGCGCCACCGCCCCCATTGGTGATCTGCTTCCACCCCACATACCCTCCCCCATACACCTCCACACCCCCCCCTTACCCCCCCACACACATCCCCCCACACACCTCCACACCCCCCCCCCTTACCCCCCCACACACATCCCCCCATACACATCCCCCCACACACATCCCCCCCATACACTTCCACACACCCCCCCTCCACACCACCCCCTCACCCCCCCCACACACCACTCCCTCACCCCTCCCACACACATCCCCCCATACACCACACCCCCATCCCCCATACACCTCCACACTCCCCCCTCCACACCACCCCTTCACCCCCCCACACCCCACCCCCATCCCCCCCATACACCTCCACACCCCCCTCCACCTCCATACCACCCCCTCACCCCCCCACACACATTCCCCCATACACCTCCACACACCCCCTTCCACCCCCATACCCACCCCCCACCCCCCCCCCATACACCTCCACACTCCCCCCTCCACCACCCCTTCACCCCCACACCCCACCCCCCCATACAGCTCCACACCCCCCTCCACCTCCATACCACCCCCTCCCCCCCACACACATCCCCACCACCACCACCACACACACTTTCCACCCCACAATCCTTTATAAAAGTTGGTCTGGTTTGGGGGCAGTGTAATCTGTTGCTGACCTGTGTTGGGTGTTTTTTTTTGCTGTAAGTGTGTCATTGTTTAATTCATTAAAAATACTCCTAAGATTAAAAAGCTAATTTTCTGCTGAGCCAGAGGTGTATGTGGTGCAGTGGCTGGTGACTCACATATTCCACTTGGTATCGTTGTTGCTGTTTGTATATAAACAGTTAAAACCCAACTTGTGTATATTAGGTGTGCAAATAACTGGTGTGTGTGTATATAAAGTGACGAGGGTATATTACAGTATATACGTTAATGTTACATGGATTAAATGCAGAAGGGATGCTGGTGCTGTGGCTGTTTGCTGTTGAGAGCTGCAGTGGCTCCACACTCACTTTTACGGCTGCAGAGACATTGCTTCGCTTTTGGCTGTGGCTCTACCAACTGGGCTTGTTGTTGTTCAGTTGGATATCCGGAATTTGGAGAGGCTCATTTCAGATCCCTCAGGGTTTATAAAAACGTCTTTATCCATTCTGACCATCGCTTAACAACGGCGAACATCTGATTTTAGACTTCCCTGTTGCAGGAGTTTTTTTTAAAAAAATGTTTTAAACGAAATCTTCATTTTACACAGAATGAACCCATCTGTCTAATACAATGCAACGAACCAGAGTTTGGCAGTCCTCCATGAAGCGGTGGTGTTCTGCAGAGCAGTAAGACTAAAACTAGTGCGAGTCTCCCTTTCTAATCCCTTTTATATAACAAGTAGTATAAGACAGATGTTGCTCATGAACTGAGGTAAAGGAGAAAACGCACATGTCCATTTTTCATTGTTTTGCTCGGGAAATAATTAATTGGTGTGAACAAAATGAATGCCCATGATTTGTCTTAAATGAAAGGTGTATTGTTGACTTTAATCATTTGAAGATATTTCAGTATATTATTTCTTTCTGGTAATCTTGGTACAGGGTGTTCAATAAACAGGGTTTGATTTCAGGTTCTAGATTCTCCTAGTCTTTTAAAAGGAGTTCTATTAATGCAGTGAAAAATAGTTAGAACAAATAAAATGTTAGAACGGTATCTGACCCATCATTTAAAAATAAATCATACCTTTTTTTGACAAATGTGGAATTTAAAGGAAAATGTATTGCTTTTAAACAGTAATCTACAGAATTGTTCCACATTTTGCAGTATAGTGACATTCATATAGACATAAAATCATATCCTGTGTGTGTAAAACTCATTATCTTGCAATCAACAATGTTTATTATCTAAACCTTATTACTTTCATTCAGTCTATCCATTGCTACAAAGGCTAGGATTTGTAACTAAAAATATAAGAATGTACACGACAGAAGAAAGCTATAGTAAAATAACGAATTGTCAACTACTCTATCTCTCATATACCCTTAAAAATGTATTTCTTCACCAAATATTTATTTGAATCCCTTGACTACTTTCTGTTTGCAATAGCTGAACCTGAACTGTCTCTTTGCATTTCGCTTTCTGAATTTGAGCCTGCTTCCACCATTGTAGAGTATGTTAAGTATATTATTAATATTACATATTAGTATAATATTATTACAGTATATTCTGTAAAATGCTTTGAGATGTCTCAAATACATGATAAAGCGCTATATCAAATGTAAGGATCATTATAAACAAAATGCAAAATACTGCAGATGCTGGAAATCTGAAACAAAAATGTGGACCCGAAACGTTGAATCATTTTCTCCATAGATGCTGCCTGACCTGCTGAGTGTTCCCAGTGACTTCTGGTTTTGGCACGGATTATTATTATTAAAGCTGTTCATTCATCTTTGTTTGGAAACTAATTATACTGCTACTTATGCTGCAATTGGCTTTCTTAGAACTGAAATTGACACTACTCGAGATTTTGTTAAATTTACATTATACTGCACCTTGTTTAAGATTCATGCTGTTAGTTTAGTTGTGATTCAAAAATTGCAAGTGAGATTTTCTTTTGATTTCTTCCACAAAGTAAAACAATGTGTTAAATCAGTAATGCCTAAAATGATTATAATAATAATAATAATAATCCTTGCATTTGATATAGCGCTTTTCACGTCGGGAGGACGTCCCAAAGCGCTTCACAGAACACACTGTAAAGTGAATTGACTGTATATTTGTGGGCGAATGCGGCAGCCAATTGCGCACAGCAATGTCCCACAAACAGTCGTTGATTGAAAATGACCAATTTCTTATTGTTTTTGGTTTTGGAGGGATTATTATTAGGCGTGTGGAGTAAGGAAACTTGCCCAAGGTTTCTCCCTGACCTGCCTGGAATTGAACCCAGGTCTCTCGCTTGCAAAGCGAGTGCTCTAACCACTGAGCTACAGGAATCCACGGCATTGGCATTGATGAGCAATTGTGGTATTAAAGAGCTGTACTGTCTGCTGCTCTCATTATTTTATGCACTGGAATTAATATATTTATTTGAGCTACATCAACATCAGCCAAAATATAACTTGTGGTCTGAATTTATGGACGTAAACACAGATAGCTTGTATTTCTTTTGCACTGTTAATTTTGAGTTGCAAAATTGGTAGCAGAATTTTACATTGTGAAGGCAAGCATTGTTGCAGCAAAAAGGGAAGCTTTTCCAACACTGTTGGACCAGTTACAAATTCATCACACTGTAGTACTATTCACTGTAGTCAAATCATATTTCAGGCACCATATTCAATGTAATATATATCTTGTCATATCTTTTTTTCCTTGTAGTGTTAATGTTTTTTTACCTTCATTTTCACTTTGCTCATGTTTTTGTGCCTCTGCCTCCTCGTCCTCCTGGATCCCTCTGCCGAGTTCGCCACAGTCAACCACGCCATCCTCCTCCATCGGTTCTCCTCCCTCCTTAATTGGCTCTCCTCCCTCATCTACCTTAGTGGGACTGCACTTGCATAGTTCGAGTCCTACTTAACCAACCGCCTCCATTTCATCTCAGCAAATGATTTCTCCTCCCGCCCCAGTCCGGTCACCTGCGGGGAACCCCAGTGCTCCATCCTTGGCCTCTTCTTTTCACCTTCCTCTGGCCAGTGTCATCCGCAGACACGGCATAAACTTCCACAGGTATGCAGATGACACACAAATCTACTTTACCTCCTTCAGTACCAACCCTAGGTCCGTCAATGTTCTATCAGCTTGTCTGGCAGACATCAAGGCCTGGATGAGTAAACTTCCTGCAGCTGAATATGGACAAGACGGAAGCCATACTCCTTGGCTCTCATCAACATCTTCACTCCTGTGGATCTAAACTCAACCTCCTTGGGCTCTCCCTCAGACTCACCGAACCAATGCGTAATCTAGGCGTCCAGTTCGACTCCCAATTGTCCTTGTGCATGCGTTTGCCACCTCCAGCTTGGATTACTCCCAACGCAATTCTCGCCAGTCTCCCCAGCTCCACCATTCACAAGATCCAGCTCATTCAAAACTCTTCTGCCCGCATATTGACCCGGAACAAACTTTGTACCCACATCTCACCAGTTCTGGCCAGGCTCCACTGGCTCCCCGTCACCAAATGGATTGACTTCAGGATCCTCACTCTCGTGTTTAAATCCATTCACTCCCTGACAACAACAACAACAAGATTACATTTATTGAGCGCCTTTCTCGTCGGGAGGACGTCCCAAGGCGCTGACACCTCCCTACCTCTCTGTTCTCCTCACTCCCCATTCCACCACCCGGCGCCTCCATTTGACTGGCACCGGCCTCTTGGTCGTCCCTCGTACCCTCCACCCCACCATCGGAGATCGTGCCACTATGCCCCCAAACTCTGGTACACTCTCCCTCAATCCCTCCTCTTTGCCCCCTTTCTCCCCTCTTTCATGTCCTGCTTGAAAACTTTCTTGTTCGACCATGCTTACGGTCACTCCCCTGGCTTGGAATCAGACTCCGCCACTGTTAAGCGCTCTGAGACGCTACCTGCATGGAGGGTGCTATATAAGTGGAAGTTGTTGTTTTTACACTTTCCACTTACTGTACTTGGGTAGGTGGGTTTACAGGGTCGCCACTTGTTTGTGTGCCTGCATTAAAAATGATTGGTGGCAACTTATTTACGATTGTGGAAAGTATTGCAGCAGAAACATTCTACTGTAAAGTTTTAAATCTGGGAAAAATCTTT